CTAGATATAATAATAGTACCACTCACCACTACCATAATGAGTCTCTTGGTAAAACTTATTCCCCAATTATTAGAATTCTTTTTGATACTACTGTATTTATTTTCAAAGTTTCATTATAGTTTTTCTTTTTGGTGGAACCTGGTCATTATAGTTTTATTTTTATACTTAGTGCAGTTTTTATTATCTTTTAAAATTTATTTTTATTGATGGCTTTATCTCTTTTTATTTTCTTTTTTGTACAAAGCTAAAATTGTGATTCCTTGAACTAAGCATTAGTGGTTTTTGATCTTAACTACTTGTTATGGTTTGTGTTTAGTTGGCCCCCTAAAGCCTCATGCCATTGAGGCAGGGTTCTAGCACTTGTGATTAATTCATGATCCAATGCTGGCATTATGCATGTGTCACACCACCCTAGGGAAGATAGCCTGCATACAATATAAGGAAGGGAGAGAGACTTGCTAGCTGTCACAGCCGCTGCTCCTCCCTTGGCTCTCTGCTGTTTTCTGCTGCCATGAACGGCTGCCCTTGCCCTTAGAGCCAACTGAGTCCTGACTGAAACCTCCACTAACTGTGAGCTAAATAACCCTTTCCTTTCTTAATTTTGGGTGTGAGGTATTTTGTCCCAGCAATGAGAGAAAAGTAACCAAGACACTACTGTATGGCAAGAAAATGAATTTTATACAATAATATTTGATCATAATACTTTACTGAAATTTTAAACATTTTTAGTGGATTTCTGATCATGGCATTTCCCCTGCCAGGTAAGCTTATTTATTTATTTATTTATTTATATTTTAGGGAAGGGTCTACAGGGTGTTCAGGGTCTCACTACTAGACTGGACTCAGTGATCCGCCTGTTTACATCCTCCCAAGAGCTGGGATTACAGACATGCACCACTTTAAGTGGATTTCTAAGGATTTTTTTTTATGAGCAGAATATATTTATTGAGGGAAAGAAAGCTCCTGTCCAAGAGAGGGACAGGAGAGAGGCCCAAGCAGGTTATCTCCTTAAGGAATTTTTTATATACAAAATTCATCTGCTAACGTTTATGTTTAGGGGAATTTGTTGGGACACTGCCCAAAGCAGTTTATGTATGTGATTCCAGAAAGATACTCCTCAGAGGATTTCCCTAGAGGGAGAAAGCATCAGATGGAATAGAAGATGGATGGAGAGTTGTCGAGAGCATAGTGGGATGGGGACTTTTCTAAACTTGACATCCAAGGTAGCCTCTCAGAATGAAAGCCCCTTCAGCTGAAATGAAGAAATCTTTGGGCTGTTGAAAACTTCAGACTATCCCAGTGGGAAATCCTACATGAAAAGCCCAAACCTCTTGAGTTTCCCTCCCATTTGAAGTACACAAGTGGTGATTAAACTAGTTGATACTTAAATATTAAAAATGTATTGCAGTATCTTAATCATTTTTCTTGTCACTAAGACCCCATGCTTGATACCCACAACTGAGAGAAGTATATTTTTAATCACATGTTTACTGCATAGTTCACTAGCTCCAAGGCAGGGTAGCATGACAGCGGGGCCTATGGTGGCAGTAGAAAAACTGCTCACATCACAGGAGCCAGGAAGCAGAGAGCAAAGCGAGGAGAAGAAATCTTTGCCCTTCCAAGTCACGTCCGTGACCTGCTTCTTCCAGCAAGACCCCACATTCCAAATACCAAGTCAACTGTCATATCGCTATAATCCAGTCATCTTCAACACAACCCCACTTCTGAGTACATGAGGCTTTGGCAGGATATCCAAACTATAAAATACAGTAAAGGACACAATGCCTTTAATCCCTTACAAAATCCTCCCCTTGCTTCCATTTTCCCACTCTTGCTAACGCAGCAGTTCTGTAAGACCTGAGTGTTACGAAGTGTGATAAAAAATATGGTGATGTTCCTACTGAGTGCCTTCCCAGAAATGCAGGCTCACAACAATATTGTGCTGTATACTCATACATGTTAATCATTGAATCTGGAATCATGGGACTTCTGGATCTTTTCAAAAGCCAAAATGACAATACTAGAGTCAAAGCCAGATGTGTTCTTCTCTTGTCTGTTTGCTATGTTTGAGCTGCTCAGCCATCTCTACTGCCTGGATATTGTCATTAAATAAGACAAACAGAGAGTAGAGAGTTCTGACAGGATGGGAAGACTATTAGCGTATACCATGTTTCTCATCCTCATTCCTGTCTTCTCAGATCCAGAGCCATAGGTAATTACAAATTGTCACTTTAATATTAGCTTTCCTACTCTGGGCTCCTGAAGCCAACTCGTTCTACATGCTCACCTCCCTTCCCCAAGAGTCACACAGGACAGTGTGGAAAAGATGTTCAGATGACAGAAAGAAGTAGGTGGGTCTGAGGCATTTCAAGCATAAGCCTGTAAGCTCAGCTACCATTTCCCATTGATGGCATTTCCCAGGTCACAGCCCCCTGTTCCAATAGTAACAGCTGCTTCTTTTGCATCCTGCAGAATAGTAGCCCACTTCTTAAGCTTATGGATAAAAATTGGACCTAAGACACTTGTAACTTTGTAAACGATTTTTTCTTCTACCAACAAATGCTGAAATTGTCACTGAGAACATTCTGCCATTCATCCTATTTGTCTTAATATTCATGCATATGTTCTTCCTATCCCTTTTCCACAGAAGTAAACATTCTTTTCTACTGGTTAAAACAAGAGCAGTGTCACAGGAACCACTGTCAGTTTCATATGACCACAGCTTGGCTGCAGCAGCATTGCAGGTTAATTTTTATTTTATTTCATTTTACTTTTTTGATGGAACCAGGGATTGAATGCAGACTCTTGCACTTGCCAGGGAAGTGCTTATTCTACTGGGCCATCTCCCTGGCCACCAGCATTGCAGTTTAAATGGCAGAATCTCCTGCCTCTAAGTGAAGATAGCTGAAAGCAAGGCTAGAGTAGGGACTTTTCTTAATACATTTGGAGATGAACTCATTTTTAGCATTTTTTTTACAATGCTTGGAGGACATATGAAAGAACATACAAGATCAATTTTAAAAATTGATCTTGATAAGCAAAGCATTCAAATCCAAATTTTTAAAACCAGCATGATCTCGGATAACATCTATAATATGTACAGGGTCTTTGTTGTAGTTCATTTATATACTAGAATCAGGTGGAAAAAAATCTCTTTGTGCCCTGAGATAAATCAAAATTAGTTAGTCAGGTTCTTTCACTGAGTGAGAAAAACTGTGTTCCACCTTGTAGCAGATTCTCTAATCAACTTAATCTTAATGTTTTTGTTCTTTTCTGAACATAGATTAAGTGTTGTGAATGTAAGATATATTGTAGGCATCAGACTCGGAAACTTGGATAATTTTATAGTTTATTTCCTTTATAGAGTCTCATAGTTTTATGTATAAGCCCAGTTTTGAAATTAAGTCTTTTGTATCTTATTCCTTCGTCATTTTTTGAGTAAACATATAAGTTTTCATAATCAAGTAATACATAAATTGCCTTATGTTTCACTTTTATTTTTTATTTTTTTATGTATTTAGTGCAGGGTCTACAGGGTCTCACTACACAGATCAGACTCACAGTGGTCCTCCTGTTTTCAGCGTCCCAAGTGTTGGGATTATAGGCATGTCCACCATGCCCAGTCTCAATTGCCCTCTCAGCCTGTCCTGGAGGCAGGGCCTGCATGGCACAGTTATCCCTTTTAATAGCTGCAAACTGCCTCAATACTTGGAATGTGCATCAACATGACTGAACTACTTTCCCAACTGAATTCTGGGGCTCCTCTCAATTTTGAGTATACTTATCCTTTAGGTTAAGATAAACTGAGAAACTCTTGTATTTTAAAAGCAAAATCCAGCTTCTCAGCTCTTCAATATTTACACCATTCTCTATATTCCCAATTACTCCTTTCACTAAATGCAGGCAGAAGGATACTTTCACAGAACACTTTTTCCAACACCATGCTTTTCTTTGTATCACCAACTACTTTCCTACATTTCAACAGTCCAAGCTAAGTGAGTTCTTTTCTCTGAAGTATGCTCTTAATACCTGTCAACTGTAACCTTTAAAATTAAAGATGATAAAAAAGCTTGGTATGGTGGTATACATCTATAATCCCAGCACTTGAGAGAGTGAAGCAGGAGGATTATTCCTAGTTTTAGACCAGCCTGAGCTACAAAGTGAGCTCAAGGCCAGCCTGAACTGCATAGCAAGACCCTGTCTAAAAAAAGGCCAAAAAAAAAAAAAGATGAGAAACTTATACAATTAACATATCACACGTATGATTATCATTGAGTATTCACATAATCCTTGAATCAGTTTTTTTGTGCATTTTGCAGTACTAGGGACTGCATCTAGAGCCGTTGCACTGAGCTGCAATTTTACACTGAGCTACGAGGCCAGCCTTTATTTTGAAAGACAGTGTGTCACTAAATCACTAAATTCCTTAGGATCCTCTTAACTCAGCTTCCCAGAATGTTGGGTTTACACAGGCATGTACTACTATACTTAGCTTCTATTTTAAGTTAAAAAAGGTGACTTCTGCTAAATTTAATAGAACTTTATTGAAACAGACAAGAATAGGGTATGTACACATTAAAAGAACATTCAGAAAGATAGCATATTTATGATGGCTCAGTTCACTATAAGCCCAAATACTAAATATTATAATCTGGACAACACAAATATCAAACAGTGTTTTCAGTTTTGAGATTTATTTGGCAACAGAAATATGAGCTAGCTTGTATAAAGATTTAGATAGTGTCAACATTAAAGAGGAACACTGCATGGGACAGGAAGATAGCTCGGCAGTCTAAAGCACCTGCTTAGGCAAGTTTAGGCAGGTGCAGCAGACAGAACTTTGATCCCTGGCACTACATGCTGCACCAACCTTGCCCTCAGGGTGGGCTAAGCCAGGGGGAGGGGAAAGAGGTACACTGCAACACACAGCTATTTGTGAAAACCAAAGCATTATTCAACAATTATGACTGAAGAACACAGTGACAATCAGATGCAAATGACTAATCAGAATGATTTTCTTGGTCTGCTTCAGGATTATTCTGATTGTCTATTTTGCTTTGCAGTTGCTTGGCAAGTTTCTTAATTTTGTGGAATGCAGGAATAAGGGGCTTAAGACTAAAATCATCATCAGGGAATTCTACCTCTATTCTGATGTTGCTGCCAATATTTTCAAATATTTCAACAACAGTTTCAATATTGCCATTTGTCTCTTTTCTATTAAACAAACCCATGAACACTGACACTGCTTCACCACTAAGTAGTTCTTTTGTCATGACAAAATTTTCAGACAAGTTCAGTAGCATTTCTAGAACACGGAATCTTGTTCTGATATTGCCTGTCACTAGTAAAGCAAGAAATCCTGACATATAATTGGCAACCAGTGTGTGATATTCAATAGCAGTACTGAGATATCTAATTATCCTTAATCCATACAGTTGCTCAGGGGAATTCGCACTGTAAGCAAGAGTTTCCTCACATACTTGACATACAAATGTCTGAATCATGTTTAGATTTGGGTAAGATGGAGCTGTAAGAATCATATCTTTCAGAAACCTTGTGTTTCAATAAGTGAGACAACACCTGATTCATGAATAAAATCTAGGATAAACTGAGAAGCCCGTCTCTTACCCATGGCAATTTTACAAATTTCATAAATAAAAGGGTCCTGAACTTTGTCCATTAATAAAAGGAGCTCTTCAAATTCTTCAGAATCAATTCTAAGTTCACAATGTATGCAGCTGCAGAACCAGCTCTCAGGCTCTGCACTCTTTTTGGCCATAAGACACTTGCAAATTTCTTGGACTGACTGGTAGGATAGATCATAACTAAGTGAGAATGAAGGTTCAATATGCAAATATTCTTGTTCTTCATTTTCAAGCTCCACATGCCTGTCTTCCCCAAATGTTTCAGAGAAGAGAGGTGCTGCTTCTCTTGGAAATCTAAAAGGGCTTTGGGATGGGAAGCCAAGTCTACCCCATGGACCAGGTTTGAACTGAACAGTGATCTCCCCCCAGCTCTGAGGTCTATGTGCAGGTTCAGGTTCTTCTTTAACTGAACCCCAGGCCTCAGAAGTGGCCCTGTACACAGGGCTAGGATTTGATTCAAAATGGGCCTTATCTCCCACCCAGAATCAGGACCCCACTATGTCCTCCTCCTCCTCAAGTGATTTCTTAGACTCACAGCTGTTTCTATCACCAGTCTGATTATTTACTTCATCTGTAGCTCTAGACCAAGACTCAATAACTTCCCCTTTATCATCTCGTGACCTGGACTCGCAGGTATCTACAGTTCCAACTTCCTTAATGGTCTTGACTTTAGACCAGAACCAGGACTCAACAATCATTTCCTCATTATATGCTTGCTCTGGCACACAGCACATCCCTGATTTTATATTGCCTTCTTTTTTAGCACAAGAGCAGGACCCCAAAATTATTTCTTCACTTCTTGACTGGGTTTCATCTACTGCCTGAGACTCAGCTTCTCTATCAGCTTCTTCAGGCCAAAACCAGGACCCAACAATGACCTCCTCCTCCTCAGTTCCAGTCTTAGACTCAAAGATATCTGCATTAACTGTCTCCAGACTGGTTTCTTGTTCCGAGAACCAGGACCCAACAATGACTTCCTCCACATCAGCTTTGGAACTATATTTGCTACAGAATCCAGGCTCTGTAATTGCCTTTTGCTTACCCCAGGACTCCAAAACAGATTCCTCCTTCTCTTCAACTCTTATGCTACCTTCTTCTCTACCCTCAGTTTGTGCCTCAAGACTATCCTCTTCCTCAGGCCAGAGCCAAGAATCAATGTCTTCCTCTTCATCTTCTGGCCTGGACTCCTTTCTGTCAGTAGCCTCTATAATAGTGTCTTTATATTCTTTCCAGAACTGGGACGTGATCATGATCTTCTCTTCAGTTGCTAACATGGTCTTTTGTCTAGTCTCATAATCTGTACTGCATTCATCCACAGCCCATAACCAGGATCCCACAAGGGCCTCTGGTTGTGTGAATTTTCTAGACCAGACCCTTGAATCAGCAGTGTCCTCTTCCTCCTCTGATCTGAGCTTCTGGCTTTCTCTGTTGGCATGATATAAACAGGGTTCTTCTGCCCAGAAGCAAGACTTACTATTAGATTCTTCAGCTTCAGCCACAGATTTGCATCTTGCACCAAATCCAAACTTCATACTGGCTTCTTCTCTAGCTACAAACAAAGATGGTATAATGGCATCTTCATGCTCCAGGCTTGACTTGTTAATGACTGTAGCCTCCTCACATGGATCTACTCTGGCCCAGAACCAGGACTCAAACTGGGAATCCTCCTCCTCCTCCTTAGTTTGGGGCACATCACAGCTGGCTTCCATCACAGAATCCATATGAGGCTGGTTTTCAGACCAAAACCAAGATAAAAATATTGTCTCATCTTCAGACCCTTGGCTACTCTCTTCTTCAACCCCAGCATCTATACTGTCTCCTCTAGTCCATAACCAAGGACTTATGATTTCTCCCTCAGACTTTGGTCTTGATTTATAGCTAACGTCCACACCAGATTCTAAACAGGTCTCATCTGTGCTCCAGAACCAAGGTCCAAAAATTGCCTCTTCTTTGGACCTGGCGTTGACTTCTTCATCAGCCCAGAACCAGGAACTAACAATGATCTCTTCATCATTAGCCACTGGCACAGATTGAGAGGTAACCTCAGCCCCAATTTCCATACTGGTTTTCTTCCCAGCCCCTAGACAGGAATTGTTAACAAGCTCTTCCTTAACTGATGGTCTGGATTTGCTGCTGCGCCCAGTCTCCATACTGACCTCTTCTTCATTCCAGAACCAACTACCAACAATGGACTCATCCTCCAATTGTGGATTAGAATTTATGCTGGCCATATTCATCAGGGTGGACTCTTCTGTAGTCCAGAAACAGGTCCCAATGAAGGCTGTTTTCTGTGACCTTTCTTGTGGTTTGAGCCTAGTTCTGACTTCTTCCTTTTCCGCTATTTGCACTTTGGCCTCTCTTGTGGTATTACACCTTAAAAATGTATTACCTCTTTCTTCAGCACAGAACCAAGACTCTTTTTTTATTACATCTGTAGGCTCACACATTACATCAATGCAAGTGTCTTGCTTGTGACTATGTTGGGCTCTCTCATTGGTCTCTTTTCTGGCTCTAGGTACAGTCTTGTATTTGGTCTCCTCTCTATCCCAGAACCAGGACCTCATACCATTTTCACACTCAAATCCTGAACTGAATTCAACATTGTCTTTTCTCTTAGGACTAAAGCAGGACTTGCTATTGACCTCTTCCCTGGACCTGGACAAAGAATTGGTCTTTGATTTAGCACTAAACCAGGATATCTTAGCAGACTCATCATTGGAACCAAAACTACTAGACACAATATAAAGATCCTGTTTGTTTTTGTGCCTGAAATAGTCAGCTGCCTCTTGTTTGGGCATGTGCCTGTATGTGGTACCAGTCTTTACCCTGCTCTTCGGATGAAATTCTACATTGACCTCTTCTTGACTCCAGAAACAGGAATTCACAGAATTGTGAGAGGGGTCTGGTTTCGATAAAAGCCTGGGGAAACTCCAGGTCTCAGTATCAGTTGTATTTCCTGACCCCAATGAAGGTTGGAATCCTACTTGCAAATTAACATTCTTTCCAGGAAAGGTCTCATTGTCTATATTAACCAATTCTCTATCCATAAAAAGGCACTTAGTTTTAGCAACCAACTCAGAATCAGTACGGACTACTGGAGAGATTACGGCATTGGTCCGCAAATCTTGCTCTGTCATTGACATTGACTCAGTCCCAAACTCACTCAGAGCCCACACATGGGCATCATCTTTGGATCTTGACCCAGGAATCGTTTTGATTTTAGTCTTAGTATATGCCCTACCCACTGCCCTTGTTTCAGCTGTAGAACATATTCCAGGAATAACTTTGGTCTTGGTTTTAGGCCTTGCTCCAGTCATTACCTGAGTTTGGGTCCTAACCTTAGGTCTGACCACCAGGGGGACTTCATTCTCTGTTTCAGGTACACTAACAACCTCTTCCTCAGGCTTCTTTTCAAACTCTGTACCAGTCATGATACAAATTTCAAAAAGCCAAGTTACATGCCCCTCAATAAATCATAGGCAAAATCACATTCAGAGAACAGTTAGAGGACTATATGCTTAATCCTGATCTTTTGAAATTTAAACTATAAGTTGTAAACCAAGACCCGTGTTGATCACCAATTCAGTAGTCACCAGGCACTGTTGAAGACAGTCTCAATAGTAATGTACACAAGGCAGAAACGTAAGAGGATGATGGCAGGGGTGCTGGATGATTCCGGGCTGAGTGTAGACCTGTTGAGTGTGGTGGCCAGCAGAACTTCAGCCTACCACTGGATCTACAAGAAAGAGAACAAGATGGAGAATTGAATCTCTTACCCAACCACATTGCCTCATACAGAGACATACATAGAAACTGGAGCTGAATGCTAGGCAGAAAAACTAAGCTATGAGAAAGTCTCTCTGGTCTTCTGGCTTGCTACAAAATAGGTATGGGGATGGTGGCGAAGGGAGTTCCCAATGAAGAAGCAGAGAAGCTCCACGACTGGACCCTAATCACCTCAGCAGCTTCCACTACTCTACCCAAAAGTGAACCCACACCCATACGAACCTGAACCAGTGCGCTGCAATCTCCCACTCCTTTCTTTGTTCAAGTGATATTAGTCCCCACAATCGACTGCAGCCTCCTACAGACGAACACATAGGAGAAGATGGATTCTGAATCCTCAGGAGAGAGGCATACACCCTGGCCTGAGGCAAATCTCTCTTCCTCAGTTTAAGGGGCTAAGCTCTCCAAAATTCCAGCCTCCTGCTGCCAGGGCCTATCCCACCGTTCAGAAAATATCTAGTAGGAAAGGGACAAGGAATGCTGTGGCAATCTGCAAAACTAGCATCTGTGGTCTTACACCCACTTGGATCAAAGCCACCTGCCTCTCTTCCTCAGGAGGTGTCTCCTGCATCGCCCCCCTTCTCACCAGCCTCCAGAGATGTGAGCGTGTCTCCTTTTTTGCTTTCTTCAAGAACCGACCAGCCTTAAAGCAGGCCTGTGGGCAAACAAATGAAAAGGTAAAGAGAAGTCAGGAAACAGTGATAGCATCTGAGCTCAGTGAGCAGATAAAAATTAAAGACAGGTGTCTCTCTAGTATCTCTTTCTTGATCTGGGGACCTTCTGGTCTACTATTCTTCCTTATTTGGTCCCTGTTGCAGTGTTCCAGAGGTAAGAAGCCTTGTCTGGACTTCATCACTCTTGTCATTATTTCCACCTCCAATTCTGATGATCTACCACTAGGGGTACACACTCTCTTATCCTTTTTTATATTCTTTTTTATTTTTATTTTATTTTATTTTTTGGAGCTGGGTATTGAACTCAGGCCCTTGTGCTTGCCAGGCAAGCACTTATTCAACTGAGCTATCTCAGTTGAGATCACACTCTTTTATCCTGCGCAGCAGAAAACAGAGGAAGGGCATAGTATATTCTAGAAAGCATATTGTAAATTCTTAGTTATTACACCATAATCCTCTTTTCCACAAGCCCTTCTTTTCTGGCCCCTATTGGGGCATTGGAGGTGTGTATTAGGGGGTGAAATATCTGGATGGTCCCTAGCAAGAAAAAGATTAGGAAGCACCCCACAAGCTTGATATGCCCTAGCCATAGTCATGTGCCCCACCCTTATTTGGTTCTCTATTCAGTGCCTGGTGCCCACCCACCTACTCTACACACCTCCGAACATCCAGGCCATTTTTCTGCTTCTCCTTTTTCTCAAGCCTCTCCTGTACAGATGTGCACTGTGGGGAGTGAGAATTCAGCAGTCCCAGGGCTCAGACAGGAGACTCTGACATCAACAGGTGCCTCGGGTAAGGGAGAGAATGCAGGACGGGCGGTCCAAAAAGCCCCACTCAGAATCGAGGCCGCACGGGCGAGACAACCCACCTTCCTTCTGCCACCTGGCTGCACACAAGGTCTGCACCTCAGCCACAAGTCGACCCAGTTCCCGGTGCCCCTGCCTCAGTTCCCAGCCACCTTTTCTCCTGCAGCAGCCCCACAACTCGTCAAGATCCACTCCAAGAGGGCAGACAACGTGGAGGGCGGGGCGCGGGAACAGCTGCAGGGAGGCAGCAGCATCGCTCCCCCATGACCCACAGCTCTGGCCAGGGCCGGCCCGCTCAGCTCAGCGTCCCCTCGCCGCCAGGACTCCGGACACTGCGCACCTCTTTCCTGGAGCGGCCGCGCCTGCTCGCCTCCCCTCGGGGCTGCCAGGTTCTGGGGGGGGGAGTGGCACCTGCGCCCCAGCACACCCCCACTTTCGTCGCGTCGCGGGGCGCCCCCTCCTCACCTGCTCGCCGCTCGCCCGCAGCCCGGCGCCCCGATTGCCACCGCTCCCAGCGCTCTGCCTGCAGAACTGCGAAGACGCGCGCCCACGCCTCTGCAGCAGAGCCGGCAGGGGTTGCGCAGGACTCGATGCGGCAGGACCCGTTTGCCGCGAGGGTGTCGGGAAGGGGCGGAGGGATACCGCGGGGCCGCAGACGCCCCCTCCCAGGCCCACCGTAGTTCCGACCCGGACGTGGGCGGGGCCGGCGCCAGCCGCAGTCTGCGAGCTTGCGCAGCAGCAGCGCGCCTCGGGGTCTAGGCGCGCCCTCACGTGCAGATCAGTGCTCAGGCCCGGCCGCGACACGACGACGCCACGCTGCTCTGCCTTGTGGGTCTGGTGGGGACTCTGGGCTGCGGGGATGCACGGGGAGGGCGCGGTGACCTCGGGAGGCTGGCAGCAGGGGTGCTGGAGGTTGGAGCGGATGGATACCCACCGCCCCTCTGGGAGTCTGCTCCCTCTGCAGGCTCCTTCCTTTCTCCATGCTGGGGGAGGGGGTGCCAGGGAGTGCGGGTTGGGCTGGGTTCGAAGGTGCAGCAAAGCGTCAGGAAGGCTACCTCTTGTTTTTCTTCCCATTTTCTCTATCCGTGAAGGTAGGGAAAGCTTTTCTACTCTTCCGGAAATTTAGCGAGATCGGCGCCCGAGATGGCGCCCCTCGAGGAGATGGCGCCCCTCATGCGTGCTCCTCTTGCAGAGGAAGGCTGACCTAGACCTGTAGGCCTAGGAAATCAAGCACAGCTCTGGGCCAATTCCCAAGGGAGCTCCTTTGATCACTGGTGTCCCCATAGTTAGTTGTCCAGAAAGAACGCATTTTTCTCCTGTAAGGGCGTGCGGGGAGCCAGTCACACAGTCCTCTTTGTTCGCTGCACGAGGTCATAGGCTCAGGCACCAGGTAGGACCTCAGCCCTGGCTTCCAACTCATTGTTTTATTTTTTTCTTTTTTTTCGGGAACCCGGGCTTGAACTCAGGCCCTTGCGTTTGCCAGTGAACAAGCGCGGAAGTGCATATTTTACGGAGCCATCTCCCCGGCCCCTATTTCCTGGTTCTTTTTGCCGTGCTATCCAGGCCCTCATGATACTTGGCAGCGTGCACACGTGACCCGCATCCGAAGCAGCTTGGATCGCATAGCCATTTGCCTAAGTTCACCAATTATTTCCAAACATGGGAGGAACTCTCATCCTTTCCTTTCACCCCTACTTTTTGCTATTCTCGAGTTTTTCTTCTCTCTGCTTGTAGAATAAGACAAATGGGGCAACACAAAATTGATGTGGTCCTTTCTGTCCATTACAAAACTTACTATACCCTTCCACCCATGTTTGTCAGAATAATTTGGCTGCAAGAGTATCCATATATTTTTCCCTAGGATATGTAAAGACATGTTACCTGGCAAAGGATAATTAAGGTTGTGGATGGGATTAAGATTACTAATAGGTTGAATTTAATATGAGATTATGTGGGATTATCAAAACCAGTGTTTTTGCAAGTGTTTTGCCAAGCGCGTTTGTCAGGAGGAGGCCAAAAATGCAATGTCCCAGTCAGTGATGCAGCCTGAGAAAAACTATACACCTATTGTTGGCTTTAAAGACCGGCAGAATCAGAAGTCAGTTAAGCTAAAAAAGAGAAACAGGTTATTGCCCAAAAACCCTTGTAGGAAAATACCATTTTATTGTAGTGAGAGCTTTTATTTCAGATTGCCTGTATTGTACAGTATAAAGTGAAAAATTTATGTCATTTTGAACCAAGTATTTGTTTTCTGTCTCACCATTACAGCCACCAATCTCCTTTTCTCCATTTCACAGGTATACCTACAGCATCATAAAATTCTGTCTTCATTTTGAAGTCTGGAGTATCTTTATTCCAGAATTGTTTACTGAGAAGTTCGCTCTATTGGGTAAGTCATTTTCAATTCAACTAGAATATATAGTCTTTTATGGCTGTTTATTGAACTAAGAAATGCCGTTTTAAGTTGTTTATTTGTTTAAGCATTTTAGTTTTGTTGATCAGATTATTATCATTATTTTTAAGGTTGATGAGTGGATTTTCACGAAACAGAGTAGTAACATTTCCTGTTTATTTTGCATTAAAAGAACTCTTTTTTTTTTCTTGTGGTACCAGAGATCGAACTCAGGACTTTGGCTTCCCTGGCAAGCACTTATTCCACTGAGCTATCTCCCCGGTCCACAAACAACAATTCAGAAATTACATTTGTCATGTTTTGGTGTTGTATCAAAGGGAAAATAGTCACAATTATCTGGATATCCTATTATGTCTTCCTTCCCTTTTCCAAATCTGTATGATTGTGCAGTATGTTTGTGGCAGTCCTAGGGATTGACAGTAGTTCCTTCATGTTCAACTACATCACCAGCCCTTTATTTTTTATATTTGAGACAGGATCTATCTGAGTTACTATATTGCTGTGAGAGAACTTGAACTTTTTCTCCTTCTGTTCAGCTTCCTAGAGTGCTAGGATTTGACTTGTGCCACATTGTCAAACTAGACTTATTTATAAAGTCGAAGTGAAATGTTAAGCCAAAAGTACATATCCTAATATACTAAGTACAGAATCTAGGTGTCTAATACAAGCCAGACCTTAGAGAGATTTACTAAAAATAAATTTTTCACCAAACTTACATTGTTTGTATTTCCATACAATGGGTTCATGATTGT